CGACCCGCAGAACGCCATTTCCCCCTTCCCTTAACAGTCGACGGATGCGGCGTTTTCTTCAATGTAAACGAAGCAAAAACGTCTTTAACTATTTTGTATGCTACCAGGTAAGGTCCACTGAGCTGTGTGGCTCTTCAGAAGAGACCTGTCGATCACACATGATAGCTCAACGAAGTGGCTCATCATCGTGTGGACATTTCTCGCAGCCGAATACTCTAAACGCGCGCGATGTTGATTCTAAATGTGGAGGGCGAAAAAAAAACCCGGAGGACCACGGGGGGAGAGAGAGACGCGCAAACTCCAAATATACAGCAGCAGCAACAGGCGCCAGGGTCGTCAGGATGGAACCCACGACCTCCTGCAAACGAGGCAAGGTAGTTAACATCTCCTAGCCACTGTCGCGCACATGCAAGTGCAGCCCCTTGCGAATGCTCGCTCACAGACACTGCTGGCTCGAGAGGGCATTTGGCCTACTCTTCCACGCTGGTCAGACGTTCTCGCAAGGAGGAGAGCTTAGCCCGCCCCCGTCCCCAACACTTGACCCCACCTGCAGGCGCGACCTGGCCGAACGACTCGCTCCGGTTGTATCTTGATTTGAAGCTTTCGTGACTGCAGGAATCCATACTCTTTGGTTCTTTCGGTAAAGTCACTGATGACGGACGCTTGTGTTGCGCCCGAAACGTCGTGATTTATTTTATTTTATTTCTATCTACGTGGCTTTACCGAAAGAACCAAAGAGTATCGCTCTGGTTGTGTTTATTTCTACCGATGTGTGGATAGAGGGAGGGGGAGATTTAATAAATGAGATACCACGTGTTTCAACCGCTAGCTGCCGCGCCGGGAGATGGAACCGGCGACGCCTTCGGTGCACGCTCACCGCGACACCCACGGCAGCATTGCAAAGTGCTCCCTTGCGCCGGGACTGAAATGCGCCCTCTGGGGTTGGGGACGGAGCGAATTGTTGAGCGCGAGGAAGAGGTGGGGAGACGTGAGGGGCGGGGGGCGGGGGAAGTGGAGGAGGGGGGTCGTGAACTCAGAACCAACCACGGGGAATCAGGGACCCGACCGTGATGATGACGATGATTGTGATGGTTTTAGTAGTTTCTATTCTATTCTTGATGGTGATGATGATGGCAGCAACGAGATGCTCCGGAGCCATCGATGCCAATGTCGAGGTTTTTCTGCTGCTGATGCTACTGCTGGCCACGACGAGAGGGCTTCAGCAGATAGAGAGGGAGACGAGTTCGTGTCGTGTCGCTGTTCCTCCTGCGGTGAAAGATCGCAGACCACAGTGGATTCACTGGATGGGCCCACAGCTTGGGTTGCATGGCCACAATGGCACCAACGTGGCGTCTGTCTTTAACGTGTCTCTATGGGTTTCTGTGCATCTCGATGGGTTTACTGTGGGGTCCATAGTTTGGATTGCACGGCCACCATCGCAATGATGCTGATGGACGATGATGAACGATGACGATTTGTAATTATACAACATGATGACTGCTATAATTGACGATCCAGGATGGTGATGCTTATGGATGTGCTTTGAAGATGGACCTTTTCCCGAAACGTCGCCGATGGCATATTAGTTTATTTTAAAGCCACAGTCCCGTTGACGAATGTGCGTATGTATGTTGAACTTCTTTCGCATCGTACGTATCCAACCGTGCCACCTGGAAGTGCGGAGGCTGGACAACAAACGAAACCACCAAAAGCAGTTCCAAAGAAATTAGTTTGTCAATCTAGATGATTTTTTTTTAACGTGCGGAGCTCCCGGTAGCTTCTTAATATCGGTAACGAAAGAGCGTCACAGACGGCCGCAGAAGCGCATCTAAAAGCAGCGCGCGATGCGTCGGCCACGGTCCTTGCCGTGTCGGGTTTGTTCGTTGTGCAGCAGCATCACCACCACCACCACCAAATGATTGCCCATTTTTGGTTCATTGTGATGATTTGTAACTGCAAGGCGCGATGATGACGATCTGTAATTATGACGTGATACTGATTCTATCCGTGATCATTGTGATGACGATAATTTTTTTGATGATAATGCGCCCGTGATGAGCACCGGTTATTATCGGTAATTACGAGACGTCATAACGATCGCTGATGACGATGACGCTTGTATGATTATAACGAAAATGATGTCACGTGGCGAATTAGCTCGGATGATCATGTTCGACTTCGATGATCGTTGTTAATGATCCGTGGCGGTGATGATTGCAGAGTTGGTCTATGATAACAACCCTGGGATAATGATTATTATTATGATGTGGCTATTCTACATTGTCCCTGGTGACGTGTCGGCCTTCATTGGTGCTCGATGTGACAATGATTATCAGTATCGATGGTCTGTTCATGATGATGATGACGACGTTAATGACGGCGCCTCTCGCCCAGGATTCGCAGACACGTGCACTCAGCTCAGTGTTTAATGTCGCTTTATTCATTATTCATGAGATCAACGCACACATAAACAACGAACATACGCGCGCACACACAGAAAGACGAGGAGCGCACACCATAAGCATACACACAGACATACGAACGCAACATACACAAAGCAAAAAAAAAACACACGAAGACAAAGATCCCCCACATAGCCTTAACAGACTGTAGGGGCAAGTGCTGTTAGCGAGCACCTATGAAGGCCGGCACGGCACACGAGGGGGTGGGTGGCAACCACCCCGCCCGGCCGCCTTTGTCTCCCCAGTGGCGATGTTTACACATCGCACCAGGTACTCATTTGAGGCTGAGTCGACCGAGGGGAGACCCAGGACTGATTCAAATAATCGTCGCTCAGGTCGCCGGGTTCGTAGTGCAGTGCGCTAGCCACTACACTACCGCTCCCCACATACACACAGACAAGCACACACGAGCATCACACATGTATATACACAAGACACACGGGCAACACACACACACACACACGCAGGAGATGCACACACACTCACACACGCGCGTAAATACACAAAGACAGGCACACGCACGAGACACACTCTCTTACGGGATTGTTCAATCTCACCTGCATGCACGCGCACGCCCTTAAATACACGTCGACAAGAATCTGAGACATTTATACCCTGTCTGTGTCAGGGGCCGGGGGGACGCGGGGTGGGGGTCTGTGCCAGGCTAGGTGTCTTTACACAAAACGGCATACTTCATATTGCAGAGTAATACTATTACAATTGCTATGACTAGAGTCTAACATCACCACCACCATCATCAACATCATCATTTATTGTGACGCAGTCACGTGGTCTGTGGGGTGCTCAGTTGTCACCACGTGATCGCGCGACACGTGGCCACGTGCTCACAACAACCAAGCGCCCCGAGTGGCAGCCTAAAGTAAACAACTATTCACAACAACAACAAACGACACCAACCAGCAAATAAATATCGAATAAGTTACATGGGGCCGCCAATCCACTAGTGTAATGTAACTCGCTACAGCGGTCTAACACTCACGCACTAACACGCACGCACAAAACATATCAACAAGCAACCGCACGCCACTAAGTGGCGGCAACGTCACCACAGATCCTGGTGCCAGGCTAGGTGCACCTTGAGGCGATGCCACATCCTCACACACGACTCTCACACCCTCGCAAACGCGAGCGAGCGAGACAAGGACTGTACTCATACACGACACACATTGACAACACACTCGCAGGGGCACGCAAAGATCCCCTGGGTAGCCTCCATAGGCTCTTGGGCAAGTGCTGTCAGCGAGCATCAGTCAACACACTCTCTCCGACGCACGATATTTCGTGTTTAGTTTGTTGCCCTTCCCCCGCACCTCCGATTAGCGCTGTTGGCTACGTACGGTGCGAAAGAAGTTCAACATACCACACTTACCGACAAACACTCTCACACACACAAACCCACGTACACTGACACGCATTCTCACACAATATGACTAACACACACTCACTATCTGACAAACACTATCTCACACACAGATCCCCCAGATAGCCTTCAACAGACTGTCGGGGCAAGTGCTATATTAGCGAGCATCTTATGAATGCTGGCACGGCGCACGACGGGGTGATGTGGCCAGCACCACGCCCGGCCGCCTTTGTCTCCCTGGCGCCCATGTTTACACGCGCGTTGAGTCGACCCATGGAAGGCCCCAGGACCGGTTCGGTTATTCGTCACTGATGTTGGCCGTGAGCGGGAACCCACCTCAGGTCGTCGGGTTCGTAGCGCAGTGCGCGAACCACTGCGCCACCACTCCGTACCCATACAATGACACACTGGCACACACTCTTTGACACACGCATTGACACACACACACACACCTCACGTGACACAAGCACACTCGCATACAAAGATGCAGCTACCCTGTGTAACCTTTTTAGACTGTTAGGGCAAGTGCTGTTAGCGAGCACCGCCTATGAAGGGCGGCACGGCAGCACGAGGGGGTGGGTGGCCAGAACCACGCCCGGCCGCCTTTGTCTCCCCAGTGGCGATGATTTTACACATCGCCATCGGGTATTCATTTGTGGCTGAGTCGACCTAGGGGAGGCCCAGAACCAGTTCAGATAATCGTCTCCGATGTTGGTTGTGAGCAGGAATTGAACTCGGCTCGCCGGGTTCGCATCGCGCTAACCACCACACTACCGCCACCCCCCCCCCCCCCTTAAAAAACACATTCACTACAAAGATAAACACCCCCCGTATAGCCTTAACAGACTGTAGAGGCAAGTACTGTTAGCCAGCACACATGAAGGCGGGCACACTGACATTTGCAAAAGACACACACACAAACACTGACAAAGACACTGCCACACAAAGATCCCCCGTGTAGCCTTAACAGACTGCTGGGGCAAGTGCTGTTAGCGAGCACCGACGAAGGCCGGCACGGCACACGAGGGGGTGGGTGGCCACACACACACTGACATACACACAGACACTGACACACACACTGACACACTGACACACACACACACCGACACTGACAGACGCAGCGCCTTCTGCGAGCAACTGCTCTTCGCATCGTCATCATCATCGTCACCACGAGCCGGGTTCGTCAAGACAAAGACTTTTGTCGACGCGTAATATAAAACAATATATCGTTGTGTATATATAATGCGAGCAAAGGCTCGTGTATTAAGGAATGTGTGTAGGACATTGGAGGAATGCAAGTATATGTGGTGGGTGCGTATGTATGCGTACACGTGTGTGTGTGTGTCTTGTATACGAGTGTATCGGTGTGTGTGTGTGTATTTAATTACCTTTCCCTCTGGATTGTAACAACGGCTCTGCGTTATTTTCATGAAGAGGTTGGGGAAGGGGGGGAGGTGTGGTGTGCGTCTTATAATCCGGTGCTAGGTGTACGCTGTGAGTGTGCGAGCGAGCTGTGTGATTGACCATATTTCTATAACTTTATTACAGCCACACACTTGGCGATGCGTATTCCTCTCCGAAGCGTCTCATAATCCGTTATGTGCGTGCGTGTGTATCATACGCGTGCATCATTATTTCCACGTGTGTGTATGTATATATATCAGTTTGTTTTCAATACGTGTACGTACATGACATCTTTATGATTCTAGCATTTGATATTGATTGCTGTTTTGGTTGCATTTAAATTAGTAGGCGCTTATTGTGCGCAGTCCGCTACTTCCCGTCGAGGCTCGTGGTTCGGGCTCGCAGGCCGCCCCTAGTTATCACTGCGTTTGTTTGGCATTGCCTATAATATAGTAATATTATATAAATACGCACCGTCTTGCTTGATGATGGTCGTTAAAAGACAAAAAATGTATCGGTTGGAGCGGCACTCCGCGTGCGTGCGCTCATTACGTTGAACTTCTTTCGCACCGTACATAGCCAAAAAAAATCCCGTGCTAATCGGAGGTGCGGTGTGTTGAACTGCAGCTGCGCTGCCGTGAATGATGGCAGCGATTCCAAATGTGCTGACTTACTATTGTTGTGTGTGTGTGCGTGTCTGTGTTGTGTCTCTATGTATAACGTAAGCGTGCGCGCGCGTGCGTAGCTCGCGTGCGTAGCTCGCGTGCGTAGCTCGCGTGCGTAGCTCGCTAGTGTAGCTCGTGTGTGTAGCTCGCGTGTGTAGCTCGCGTGCGCGTTGTTTGGTATCGCCTCGTGCGTATGTGTCTGTGCGTACGTATTACGCACGTATTGTACTGTGCTACGCTTGTACCTATCGGTATGCGTCAGTTCATAAGAATAAATAAGTGCCCTGATACTGACAAGCAGTACCCACTTTCACGCTTTGTGCGTGAACGACACGGAGGGAGCCCTTTTTTGCCAAATCCACTGCTGGATGAGGGCCTGGGCCCTGGGGGAGGAGCTATTTCACCAGGCTGGTCAGTGCGGGTTGTTTAAGCGAACTTTATACCCTGTACAAGTGATATCTCAACAGCAGCATCATCATCATCATCACGTGCGCACATATCTCAGCCATCATCAGCAACAACATCATCAACATCACACGTACAGCCGTCTAAGCCATAAACAAAAACATAATATCATCATCGTCACCAACTCGACCATTGACATACGCACGAATATCTCAGCCATCATTATCAACAAACGGTAACATCATCACCACCACCACCATCACTATCATCAACATCACACGCACACCCACCTCAGTCACCACCATCATCACCAACAACAACAGCAGCAGCGATACTCCCCGCCAACACCGACAGAAAAAGCGGATCGTGCGCGACCATTCGCGACCCACGACAGATCGACATTCGACTACCGCAGCCGACCAAAATCCACCGACTTTAAGTCATCGTCATGGTCGTCACGGAGGCAGCTTGCACGTCGCCCGCCGCCGCCGCCGCCGCCTTCACCTTGGTGTTCGGTAGTCGATGGTCCTTCTTCCACTTCATGCGCCGGTTCTGGAACCAGATCTTGATCTGGCGCTCGCTCAGGCAGAGCGCGTTCGCCACCTCCACGCGGCGTCGCCTCGTCAGGTAGCGGTTGAAGTGGAACTCCTTCTCCAGCTCGAGCGCCTGGTGCCTCGTGTAGGCGGTGCGCGCGCGCTTCAACTCCCCGTTTCCACGGCAGCTCGGAGCCACTGCGAGAACGGTGGCCGTGGTGGCGGCGGTAGTGGTGGTAGTGGTGATGATGGTGGTGATGATGGGGGCAGTGATCGTGGTGATGATGATGGGGGTTGTGGTGATAATGTTAATGATGGGGGTAGTGGTCGTGGTGATAATAGTGGTGGTGGTGATAGTGGTGGTGATAGTAGTGGTGGTGGTGATGATGGGTGCAGTGATTGTGGTGATAATGGTGATGATGATGGGGTTAGTGGTAGTGGTGGTGATGATGGGGATCGTGGTCGTGGTGATGATGGGGGTAGAGATCGTGGTGATGATGATGGTGGTAATGATGGGGATGATGGGGGTAGTGGTGGTGATGATGGAGGTAGTGGTAGTGGTGATCATGGTGGTAATGATAGTGGTGGTGGTGGTGGTTGATGGGGGTGGTGGTGATGATTGGGGTAGTGGTGGTGGTGATGATGGTGGTAATGATGGGGGTAGTAGTGGTGATGATGGGGGTAGTAGTGGTGATGATGAGGGTAGTAGTGGTGATGATGGGGGTCGTGATGATAATGATGGTGGTGACAGTAGTGATGTTGTTGGTGATGATGGGGTAGTGATGGTGGGGGTCGTCGTAGTCGTGATGGTGGTGGTGATAATGGTGGTGGAAGTGATGGTGGTAGTCATGGTCGTGGTGAAGTTGGTGATGATGAGGGTAGTGGCAGTGGTGATAATAATGGTGGCGGTGATGATAGTGGTGGTGATAGTGGTGGTGATGGGGGTAGTGGTGATGATGGTGATGATAATGTTGGTAGTGATGATGGGGGTTGTGGTAGTGATGATGGGGGTTGTGGTAGTGATGATGGGGGTTGTGGTAGTGATTATGGGGGTTGTGGTAGTGGTGATGACGATGGGGGTAGTGGTGTTGATGGTGGTGATGATGGTGGTGATGTTGGGGGTAGTGGTGATGGTGGTGATGGTAATGTTGGTAGTGATGATGGGGGTTGTGGTAGTGATGATGGGGGTTGTGGTAGTGATGATAGGGGTTGTGGTAGTGGTGATGACGATGGGGGTGATGTTGGGGGTAGTGGTGATGTTGGGGGTAGTGGTGATGATGGTGGTGGTGGTGGTGGTGATGATGACGATGATGGTGGTGTTGGCCACAAGGTTAACACGTTAGACATCATCACCGCCACGCTGGAGATGCCATTATGACGCGAGTATCACGCGTACTCTCGATTCGATTAATCTCTCCTCGTGAACCTAGCCTGGCACAAGCACTGCGGTGACGCTATCGCCACTTTGCGGCGAATGGCAGCTTCGTGGTAGGTGGTGCTGGCGATGATGCTGATGATGATGGTGGTGGGGATGATGACGATGGTGGTGGGGATGGGGATGATGATGATGATGATGACGATGGCGGTGGTGATGACGATGGGGATGATGACGATGGTGTTGGGGATGGGGATGATGATGATGACGGTGGTGATGACGATGGGGATGATGACGATGGTGGTGCCGATGACGATTTACATTGTGGAGCTTCATGATGTAACCACGATAATCGGGTCATCGCGACCCAAGCATCAACACCATGACGGTGTTGATACTGCGGTATAACGATTACCACGTGATAGCATCAGGGCAGGACCTCCACCCGTCTGTGGAACGTAGCAGCAGCCGTGCCCTTTGAGCCGTGACCCGAATACCAAACGTCCCGAATTATCGTGATCATCATCATCATCATCAGAAGTGTGTGTGTGTCTGCGTGTATTATTCCGTGTTATGACAATATTGCCGCGACATGCTGCTTCGTTCGAGGTTTCGTTGCCAAGCTTTCGACGCAGGAGGCACGCTGCGCTCATTTGCTCCGCCACCACATCCGCACCGCCAAACAAAGACCCCCCCCCCCCCATAGCCTAATAGGTGCTCGCTAACAACACTTGCTTGGCACACGCACCATGAACACCACACAACGACAAAGATCCCCCTCCGCTTCGCATAGCTTAAACAGACTGTTGGGGCAAGTGCTGTTAACGAGTAGCATCTATAAAGGCCGGCAGGGCACACGAGGGAGTGGGTGGCCAGTACCACTCACGTACACACACACACTCACGTACACACACTCACGTACACACACTCACGTACACACACTCACGTACACACACACACGTACACACACACGTACACACACACGTACACACACGTACACACACACGTACACACACACACGTACACACACACACGCGTATACACACGCACGCGTATGCACACACACGCGTATACACACGCACACACGCGTATACACACGCACACACGCGTATACACACACACACACACGCGTATACACACGCACACACGCGTATACACACGCACGCGTATACACACGCACACACGCGTATACACACGCACACACGCGTACACACACACGTACACACACACGTACACACACTGACTCGGACACAAACGCAGTTATTCAGATACAAGATATCTCTAGACTCTCACTCACACACGTAAACAAAATAAAAGATTCAATCTCAAGGGATAATCAAGGTGAAATATGTTGATAAATTAAAAAAAAACATGTGTAAACAAATATATGCACACACTTTACTTTCTCTCTAAATTAACACACACGTACCACTGTACACACATAGGTACACACATACAACAACAACAACCGCCATTCGCCACTAAGTGGCGGTGACGTCACCACGACGCTTGTGCCAGGCTATGTGCACCGTGAGGCCACGTGAAGTGTCGAACGCCCGCTGGCAGGAGGTCACTGGGCAGACCCAGGTGCCACGGGTCGACTGACTGAGATGACTGAGATGACTGGCTGATGCACCACCTGTGCCCCCTACTGTGGCAACCTGCTGTGCTTTAGCCACCCGGCGCTCCGCTCGTTGTTCTGAGCGTCGCTCCTCCGCTCTCCGTTGTTGTTGGAGGGCGACTGCCTCCAACTGCCCAGTAGCATCCTTCACGAGCCTCGTCCACAGAGGCCGATCTTGACACCGCTGGTACCAGTCAACGGCAAGTCCACTCAGCTCCACGTCCTCCTGTACCACATCACTCCATCTCTTCTCTAGCCCGTGCCGCGCCCGCTTAGCCCCCTCAATCCGGCCAAACGAAAGCTGTTTCGGCATGCGGTGGCTGGGCATGCGGGCTACATGACCCAGCCATCGCAGCCTTGCCTGCCGGAGGAGCTCACCGATGGGACCCTGCCCAGATCTTTCAAGGATTTGTGAGCTCCTCACACAATCCAGTCTGGTTAAACCCAGGATGGATCGTAGGCAGGCCAGCCTAAATGTTTCTAACCGGCGAAGATGTTCCATTAGGGGGGTCCACGTTTCGCAAGCGTAGAGAAGGGAGGGAATGACCGTGGCCGAGAAGACCTGAAGCTTAGTGTGGAGCGACAGACCAGGTAGCTTCCACACAGCGTTACGCAACCGATGAAAAGATATTGCTGCTCGACTGATTCGGAGTGAGACCTCTGCTGTTAAACTGGAGCCAGTCATAAGCACACTGCCCAGGTATGGGAAACTCTCCACTCTCTCCACAACTGCCCCATCACCGATTGGGAGTTGTGGGGGTGGAGTGTCCGATGGTACAAAATACCCAGGCAGGTGCTTAGTTTTGGTGGGGCTGATGGTAAGGCCCCACCTCTTAGTGGCACGCTCCAGTCTCAGCAGCAGCGTCTCCAACTCCTCCTCTGACTGAGCAGCTATTACCAAATCATCAGCATACATAACGTGGTTGAGCAATAGGGAGCCATCCCTTGACCGCACCCGGGCATCGATTAGCCTCCCATTATATCTGTACCATATGGAGATTCCCCCGGTACAGCTATTGAAGGCTTCACGAACTACGTGGTCAAAATAGATGTTAAATAATGTGGGAGCCAGAGGACATCCCTGTCGCACCCCAAGGTGTACAGGGAATGGCTCTGACTCCCGGCCACGTAGTTTTACCCGGGCCCGCTCACCATCATGAAGGTCCTTAATGATCGTGAGCAGAGGGTCAGGTACTCCAAAAGCACGAAGAACGACCCAGAGCCCAGGCCTACTGATGGTATTATAGGCCTTGACCAGGTCAATAAAGCAGAGATGTAGGTCTTGCTGGAACTCCCTACACCTCTGCTGTAGCAGAGGGACAGAAAATATGGCATCTGTGCAGGACCGCCCTTTCCTGAAACCGCAAGCCTCTCCTCAGCGTGCCTGGCAAGGCGATGCTGAATAATCCTTGCCAGGACCTTTCCCGGCACACTGAGGAGTGAGATGCCCCTGTAGTTGTTACAGTCTGTGCGGTCCCCCTTCTTAAACAGGTCAAGACTGTTGTTCTGATGTCATATAGGGCAGTCTGTGCACAAACGCCACCCTCCCTCAGCATTTCGCTTGGGAGTTCATCTCTGCCTGCTGCCTTTCCTGGTCTCAGACTCCGGATCGCCTTCAGTACTTCCTCAACAGATGGCAATTCAGCCAGCCACTCACAGGGGGCGACTTCTTCCAATATTTGAGGCACCGCAGCCTCAACAGGGTCATCCTCACTTTGTGTCACGATGCTTTCCTGGCTGAGGGATTTTCCCTCCCCCAGGACCTCACAGAAATGCTCAGCAAATCTGCAAACCTGTTCCTGGGGGTCGGAGATTGGATCACCGTTTTTTCCCCTAATGATGGTAATAGGTGTGGCGCTGCAGGTTACTTTTTTGATGGAGTTAAATAGAGATTTGTGATCGCGGGCCACTGAGGCAGACTCCATCTCTTCAGCAACCCGCGACCACCACCCATCCTTGCAGCGCCTCACGGCTCTCCGAACCTCCGAGCGAAGGCAGCGGTAAGCCTCATTCTCTGACGTGGGATTCTGTAGCCGATGACAGTGGGCCTGTCGCTTTTTCTCAACCATCCTGAACACCTCCTCTGTCAGCCAGCGTCTCTGGGGAGGTCTGGACCGCGTACCCAAAGCAGCCAATGCAGCTGCATGAGTGACAGTCCTAAACCTCGCCATTTACCCTCGACATCAGGAGGAGTGGGGGACG